AACAGCCGCACTGCAGAGTGGCCGTGTGCACTCGGTGAGTGTGTGTTAACACAGATGCTTGTGTTCTGGGTTTCTGTGGTCACCGTACAAACTGCCACAATGGCGGTGGCTTCAAGGCACCCAGACGGATTACCTCGCGGTGCTGCGGGTCAGAAGTCTGCTGGGCCTGGTTGCTTTCTTTGCTCCGAGTCTCCAAAGCTGGGGTGTCCGGAGGGCTGCCTTCCCTCCGGGAGGTTCTAGGGGAAAATCGGTTTCTAGGCTCCTCCTGTCTCTGCCTCACCTTTCCCCGGGTCCCTCTGGCATTGCTGTCTGCACAGTCAGCTTCAGTCTGCACACGGAGCTGCTGCTCTGGACAGACCTCACCCTCATCAGCACCGCTGATCCAATACCAGCCTGAGTCTCCTTGGAGTCCCTTCCGTACACACTCCTCCTCGCCGTCCGCAGGGAGTTGTGTGGCCAGGCCTGGGATGATGCAGGCCTGGAGGACAGAGACGTGGCCCCTCCATCCTGTCAAAGCCCACACACTGAAAATCAGGGGGAGAGAGTTCCCAAAGGAAAACAGGGACCGGAAGACACCCAAGCAGAGGCTGGACGGGCAAAGCTGGGTATCTGGGGGGCTTCAGGTCTTGCCATCGACTTGGAAGTCATGGGCTCCCTGGTGGGTGATTCTGCAGATCGGTTGAGTCGTGTGACGTGTTAAGGAGTATCTCAATCAGATGTCCTGTCTTCATGCCCCACCCCTGAATCATACCTCAGTCCTGGTGCTGATTGACTGCAAGTGAACAAGCATCTCTTCTGCACCCTCAGTCCCTCCGTTTGAGGGAGAGGAACCTGTGTCGTGCTAACTGATTTTGCCACAGGAACTTGAACTAAATGTTTCGACAGCAGCTGTGTGTTCTTGTTGCATTCTCTGCTCCCTGGACTTGACCAGGGCTCCTCCTGGGGCCTTCTGCTTTCTGAGCTAACTCCTTTCTCTGTACCCGGCGCAGTCCGCAGCACCTGGAGAGTTACGCTGAGCCAGCCACAGCTTCCCTGAGTGGCACGGCCTCTTCACCTTTTATAGTTTCCACAATATGTGGGAGAAACCAGACAGAGGCTTAAGAACAAATCTCTTTCTGTCTTTGATACAAGTATGCCGGGGCCGCGAAGGACGGGAGCCCTGACTGCAGACTCTCCGACGGGCTTCTGGGGTAGGTGACATACTGATGTCTTGCCCGAGGTCTCCAGTGAAGGCTGTCCCATTAGCAGGAAACACTCAATCGTATCAGCTGGCAGGTGAGTCTTTGTTCCAACGAATGACAGCCCTGGAGAGCCACTCCGACGGCTCTGAGCCCCTGGGGGCGGGGTTGACATCCTGTCGCCGCTGCTGGGTGAGAAGCACTGTTCAGTGGGGGGGGTTTGCAGCATGAAGGAGAGAGCGCAGTGAACAACTGGGAAATCTCTGCCACGTGCACGCGGAGGCTTCCGAGCTGGGGGGCCGGCACTGACTTTGTGCTGTACCGGCTGGGGACGGTGAGGGCTGTGTACTTGGAGACGTGACCTGCATATATGGATGTACATCTGCGCATTTGTGCATGCGTGTGTGTATACACACGTGTGTGTGTGTGTATAGTGTGTATGCTCTCCTCTGGTTCTCGATTTTCCTTCCCCCTTTATCTAACATCTAGTCTTTTCAGACACTTGCTCCACCGCCTCTGCCAGGAAGACCCCTGGCAGGCCCTGCTTTTCCAAGCTGAAGCGGCCCCTCCCCTGTGCTCCGTAAACCCCGTATTTCCTTTTGTCCCAGCAGGCATCACCGTGTCCCGTCAGCCTCATTTTTATTTCTGAGTCTACCTGACCTGTGCTCAGCTGAGTCCTCAGCACAGGGAAGGCCGTCCGAATGCCTGCTGAGTGAGTCGGGAGTGACAAGGATGCTAAATCCACACGGAGCCCGCATTCGTACAACTCTCCCACCTGAAGAAACGCAACTAGTTTTCCGCCTTTCCACGCTCAGACTTGGTCCTTAGGTCAACACAATTTCAGGCCATGGCAAGTACAAAGATACTCACTTAAAAGAAAATGATCTTTTGTCTGAAATATATTTTTATGATACAATTTAGGTGAGGGCCATGTGCTTGGAAGAAGTGACCTGCACGTACGGGTATGTGTGTGCATTACACGCCCAATAACAAAAGTAAATACGGGGTTCTTGGTGTCTGCCTTCTTAAAGGCTTCCCTGTGCCCCTTGGGCCCAGCAGCACAGCTGAGCTGGGAGGCCCTGCCTGCCTGGAAGGGGACAGAGTGGCCGGAGTGGGCTCGGCTCATGGGGTGTCCCTGAGCTGGGCCCAGCGAGGCTCAAGGCCAAGACCAGTATCCTAGAGCCTTTCTCCCGTGTTTTCTTGTCAGAGTTTTACAGTTTCAGGTCTGTGTTTGAGTGTCTCATTTGTCTCCAGTTGATCGCTGCGTGTGATGGAAGAGAAGGTCTAGCTTCCTTCTTCTGTGTGTGCGCAGCCAGGTTTCCCAGGTCTGGGGCCAAGATGGCAGTGTAGTAGGGCACTCGTGGGCCCTCTCCCAGGAACACAGCAAAATCTACGCCCACGTGCAGAACGAGTCACACCGAGTGTCTCCCGAACTGGGGCACAGCCTTCCTGGCATCGTTGGTGGAAGGGACTGTCCTTTCCCAGAGGTGTGTTCTTGGCGCCCTCGTTGAAGGTCAGTGTGTGTCTGGGCGTGTGTCTGTGTGCTCCTCCCCTCGTCTGCGCATCTGTCTGATGCCAGGACCACCCCGCTGTAATCTCTGGCCTTGCAGTGTGTTTTGCAGTCAGGAAGCACGGGACTCCAGCTTTGTTTTTCTTTCTTAAGGTTGATTTGGCTGCTGGAGGTCTTTTGTGGTTCCATGTGAATTTTAGGATTATTTTTTCCTATGTCTGTAAAAAATGCTATTGGAATTTTGATAGGGTTTCAGTTGTTCTCAGATCACTTGCGGTAGTGTGAACCTTTTAACAATATTAAGTCTTCCAATCAATCCATGAACACAGAGTGTTTTTGCATTTACTTGTGTCTTTAATTTCTTTCGCCAGTGGTCTTGCCAGTGATTTACTGGATATGATACCACTGGCACAAACAACAAAACAAAACAAATAAGTGGGGCTACATGAAACTAAGAAGCTGCACAGCCAGGAAAACAGTCAACAGAATAAAAACGTGACCGCAGAAGAGCAGAATATGTATATTGGAGAGATATATGTATCTGATAAGTAGTTAACATCTAAAAATGTTACAAGAAACTCTTCCAACTTAAGAGCAAAAATACAAATAACCCTGTTAAAAATGATCTGAGGAACTGAGTAGACATTGCTCCAAAGAACACATACAAATGGCCAGCAGGCACATGAAAAGATGCTCCGAGTCACTGCTCATCGGGGAAACGCAACCGGAAACCACGGCGAGGCACCGCCTTGTACCTGTTAGAACGGCCGTTATCAAAAAGACAAAAGACAAGCGTCGGCGAGGGCGCAGGAAAGGGGGCCCTTGTGCGCTCTTGGTGGGACAGCGATTTGGTGCAGCCGCTGTGGGAAACAGGATGGCGGTTCCTCACGAAGTTAAAAGTAGAGCTGCTGTATATCCGATACCCATCAGTCCCGCTTTTGGATAGCCCAAGGGAGGGAAAGCAGGGCCTCAGAGAGATCTCTGCACTCCCGTGCTCACTGCAGCGTTATTCACAGTGGCCAAGGCGTGGAAGAACCTAAGTGGCCGTTGATGGATGAATGAATAAAGAAAACGTGTATATTTACACACAGGCCTTAAAGTAGAAGGAAACCCCGGCATGTGAAACAAAATGAACCTGGGGGATGTAAGCTGGTCACAGAAGGACACATACTACATATATTAGCCCAAGCAGTGACACTCAGAGAAGCAGGCGAATGGTGGCCGCCAGGGGCAGGGAGGGTGGGGGAAATGGGGAAGTTGCTGTTGGGTGGATGTGAAGTTTCAGCTCTGAGAGTTGAGTGCAGTTCTGCAGACCTGCCTACAGCACCGTGCCTGTGGTTCACAGCCCTGGGTCCTGCACTGAAACCTCTGTTAGGAGGGCGAATATCATAATAAGCGTTCTTATCACAGTTAAAAATAAATGCAGAAGGTGAAATGAATTGGTTGGGCCGCGTCCTTCCTGTAGTGTGGGAGCTGGCTGCGCCCCTCCCGGCCCCTCCCGGCCCCAGCCTCTGCCCCGGCAGTGCTGAAACAAAAAGCAACCCAGTGAATAGGTGATTAGAAGTGATGATCCGACTGCCTCCGGTGTACAGGTCTACAGGGGAGGCTGAATCCTTAACCGCTGGCAGAGCTTGGCGGGTTATTCGGGAGTTGCCGGCCCTGAGTTGTTGGGCTGGTGACTAGTTCCAAGGCTTTCGCTTTTCACCCTGCTGCCAGGGTGCTGCAGGTGTAACTGACGAACGCAAGCAGAGGATCTGACCTTGTTCGAAATGGCAAGGCAGGGACAGCGATGCTCATTTTATCCTGTCAGGTCCTCTTGCTGCACCCGTATTTTATGTTTGCCCCGCCAACCGGGAGGTAGGCAGGGCTCTCTTCAGTCAGCTATCAGGAAACTCAGGCTCAGAGATAATACACTAATTAAGATCACACAGCCCATGAATGGTGCGGCCAGATTTTATATCTGACTCCAAAGCCTCTTTCTGCAACAGGGAGACCCTGCATTATCAGGAATAGCCCTTTGTGCGCTGTCACCTCCACGCCAGAACTGCTCTGTGAATAAAGGAGAATGTGCTGGTTTTTCCCCTATTCTGGATATTCTAGGAGTGTAGGCAGAAGTGGTCAAGCCGTCTCTGAATCATGGCTTCAGGCTGTTGCTCTGTCTGCTTCATTTGTGTCTGATTTCTTTTTCTGGTCCTTGGTCCCAGGGCGGATCTGACCACGTGGTGGCGGGGAGGAGAGGATGTCAGGAGTGGCTGTGGGGGTTCCTACAAGCCTGTGTGAGAAGGGAAGACCGTGGGTCATCTGGTGGGGGAGTCAGAACGAGACTAATATTCAGGTAGTGCTTCAATGGGCTCTGAGAGCCGAGGGCAAGCTCTTCACCACCACGGCGGCAAGTCCCGTAGAGAATAAATGAAGTCTTACCTGCTTTATGAGGAAACTGAGACTTGGAGAGGCTGAACAACTCCATCGCTGCAGAGCGGTGGGACCGAGACAGAAACTCATGACTTCCGGTGCAGATCCCGGCTTTTGTTGTTCTCTCTGCTTTCTCTCATCCTGACAGCAAATGTGTGACACGAGAAGGGTGGTTTCCGTCAAGGAGGTGCGAGGTCGCCTGTCCCAGATGTCAGGGGGCTCCCACTCAGCAAAACAGCCTGCTCCTTTCCCGTCACTCTGGCCCCTGTCCTGCACCGATTTCTTCACGGGATTCTTCCTCAGAGTCACAAGGTATGAGACGTGGCCCTCAATACGTTAAGAGGAGAGAGGACTTGTCACATAGGAACAGCTCAGTGCACTTCCCTCGCACTTTGAAGACATGGACTAAAGAATGAGTAAATAAATGAAGAGAGGAAGATGAGCCAGATTTCCAACATGACAAAAATCAAGCCAGTTTGAAAAAAAAATGCCGGCAATTCACTGAATAGAGACGCCCAGCGTGTCAAGAGAAAGAAATGCCTAGTACTAACATGTGAAATATGTTCCCTAAGTGTCCATCCGTGGATTCATGGATAGCGTAGGTCTCAATTGTTCTCACCACAAAAGAGAAATGACACTGACGTGACCCGATGAGGTGCTAGCTGACGCCGCGGTGGTAATCATCTTGCAGCACATTGTTGCATGGAGCTGGCAGGCCGCGCCCCTGACACCTACACGGTGTGGTACGTCAGTTACACCTCGGTAAGGGGAGGGACCCACGCGTGAGGGCGGAGACACTGGAACAGAACGTGCGTGTTCATCCCGTCTCGCCAGCTGCGTGTCCCTCCTAAAGGCTCCTTCCCTCTGTCTGCAAAGTGCAGGTGTCGGACTAAACACTTTCCCCCAAATACGGACCTGAACGAATATAACCACGTCTGTTAATCTGAGACGTACAATCACAAATTTCAGGAGAGGGGTGTTTTCCTTGCCCTACTTGTACTGACTGGCCAGGCAGAATTTTGGTGTGTGATGTTATTTGCACCATCAAATACTTCCACAGGCAGGAGGGAAATGATGGAACAAATGACCAAGGCTGTGTTTGGACTGGAAAAATGTTTAGTGTGATGGAAAACGGCCCCTTTCTTCTCTTTTTATATGCTTTTTTTTTTGTTCTTGAGGAACTTTTTATTTTCTCAGAGATGATCACAGAAAATGGAGAAATACTTCAGCAGATGCCACGTGGACAATTTGGACATAAGGACGCCCCATAGGAAGCATATCACATAACACGGTGTGTCAACGTATAGATCAGTATCTGCCTTATCAATCTATACGTTTTGTTTAAGTCCAACTTAAAAGTCAGGAAAGGCAGCTTTTGTTACTAATTATCTACTAGAACTTTGAAGAGACGCGGTCTAGTCGTAGTTTTTGGAGGAAGGGATTATGATTCAAGCGGATTTTCTAACTGCGGTTTGCTGGACTTTGTCAGAGCCGTCTTTCTCCCCTGCCAGGTCAGATTTTTTCCCTCTGACACCCACCGTCTCCTGACCTTCTCAGTATCCTGCGCCAACCCTTTTAAGTTGGACTTCTGAAAATTCACATTTCTTAAAGGGCTCTTAGACCCTCCTGTGGTTTATTGAGCTTTACCTATTGATCTAATTTGAATACACAATCCCAGAGGCCTTCAAATAATGATTCACTTAAAAAAAAAAGAGGGAAAGGATTAAAATAAAAGTTTATTTCATTTTTGTTCTCACTGTTTTCAAGTCAAATCTTTAGCTGGGAAGTCAGCCCCTCGTAAAAGAAACATTTCTCTGCAAGAGGCAGCATCGGACAAATGGGTTTGGGTGACTGTCAAAAGTTCCACTTAAAAATTTTGGAGGGGAAATGAAGCCACTCATTAATGTGTCATTCAGAGATGCTGTGGTCTAAATGAGTGTTGGAAGAATGTTGAATGTGAATGTAAGACCATTCAAGTAAAGTTGTCTGGACCTGTCCTGCGAAGCATGAGGACAAGGTGTGGCCCTGATCCCTGGGGAACGGGGAGTCCTGAGGCAGAGAGGGCGTGTCCATTCATTTTGCTGATGGACAAGGCATGAATGTGTCCTGTCTCGTAGTGGACAAGCCCTGTCCAGTATATACGTCTGCAGGAATCCTGATCTGAGCACTAAAAGGTGTGATGTGGTGATGGAGTGACCCGGGGGGCCCCACGCCCCTCTTGCAGAGCTCACATTGGGCAGATGCACACTGATCGACCGCAGGGACGTGGAGCAGGCGTGGTACTGGCTGCGCTGCAGAGAACAGAACAGAAGGGGGCGCTTAGGTGGAGGGACGGGAATTGCCGATAACTTCACTGATAAAAGTTCCTCCTGTTTCCCCCCCAAACTATTTCTGAACCAAATGAAAGACACTTGTCCCCCAAAACAGACCCTGCGATGCGCTGAGGACTCAGCTTTGGTGAAAAGGACAGAATCTGAAGTCACGTCCACTCAAGGATGGCAGTTGCAACATCCCCACTAGTGGGTTTCCGACTTTGCTCAAACGTCCGCGGGGTCAGAACAGCAGCCGAGGGAGCCGGGTGGGAGGTGCTTCCAAGGGCGGGTGTTAGCGTTCGTCCAGCAGACGGCTTTCACCCTCCTCTTTAATTTCTGCCTTGTCTCTAGTTCTGATCTTGGAGAAATGGCCTAGGTTAAGTGTAAGCACCTTGTCACACAGCAGACTTTCTGGATGTGAGGGCCACCGCGGGGTCAGGCTCTGCCTTTATTTTTTCTGAATAATCGTTATGTGTCTTCTCATCCATCTCTGAAAAGCGCACACAGATGTCACAGTGATTTCTCCCTGTCACACTGTCCACTCTCCTCCTCTGGCCCTGATGGGGCCCTTATGGCTGTGAGATAGCACCATTCGTGTGATGTGTGTATTTTGAGAACCACACAGAAAGCCACGCCCGGCCAGAGAACTGGTCTGAATGGCTGGGGGGGGAGGGTCCAGAAACTCTCAATGGGCTCTTCTGTTTCTGCAGATGGTCCGCAGATGGACTAAAATCTGTGTCTTTTCTTTGGAGGAACATTTTTAAGGGTGTGAGAGAGACTGCAGGCTGCCCATCCACTTCAGAGCGACAAGACTAAAATGATTCCACCGCTGCCAGAGGGAGGAAACGTCCCATGATTTCATATGGCTTTTCAGAGTCCCCGAGACAGGCTAGGCTGTTCCTTGCCCCGAGCACTGTGTAAATGCTAGCATGTGCTGGTTTGTAATGCGTAATCAAGGAGCCAGAAAGAGTGGCTGAAGACAGCTGAAAAATAATAAATTCTGCAAAGGGAAAAGCAGATGTTCTGGAATGAGTGCGGGTGATGGGGCCTGAGTCCGTCTGCTGAGCGCTCTGCAGAGCTGGGTGGTCCTGCCACATCTCTGTGGCATCGACAAGGCGGCGGGGGGTGGAGTTTCCACCTGTTTCTTCCAGTCTGCAACGATGTGAAAACTGGTTTTCTAGGATGAAGCCTAAAAGCCACAAGAAGTAGCCAAAAGAATCTGATTTCTGTTTTCCCCATGAAAACTCCTGGATGCAGGCAGACACCAGATATGAGCCTCTTTCGAGGCTCCGTTAAGAAGTATAATACTGTGCGCTTTTTAAGGTGTGAGTTGTCATGTCGCTGTTCTGCTTAATACATTTGTGCCTCTGTGGACGAGTCACTCTCAGTGAGTCCAGGGTGGTTTGAGAGAGTGTCGCAATTGACAGTGGACTTGGAAGCAGTCTTAAATCCTCTTTCTTGATAGAGTAAGACACAGGAAGGATGCATTCAGAGAGAGAGAGAGAGAACATGAATTTATAAATAGGTAAGAGATTTAAAAATACACAGTAAATCTTTTGAGAAGAAAGCATCTTGGAAATTGCAAGGTTTCCAGGAAGGAAACTCAGAAAAGAGTGAAAAAGCAAGGAAGCCGAGGACAGCTCCTCACTGTAGCTCAGCCCCTGTCATCCCCCCTGGGGTCTTGGATGCTGCTTGGGAGAATTTCCAGAACTGAGCAGTGAACCTGAGAGACCAGTATAAGGATTTCAAGGGAGTCGGAAGGCACTGAGTCACGGGGGTACTGAGGAGTCGAACAGCCCTTCAGCATCTGGGAACACACCATCAGCCTTAAGAAAATTGATTCACTTAAGAACTCACTCAAGAAAA